TATCTAACAATAAGCTCCGGGGATGGCTGGCGTAAAGTGGGGGGGGGGGGGGGGGGGCTGCCCCGGTTTCTTCCCAATAAGCCATATCCAGAGATGCCAACCACTACGATTTATCCGTATTTTATATACGAATTTCTATTCCTTTTGCACCACTGCCACTACGACGAGTTTGTATCAAACTACGAATTTCACTGCGATTGAAAAAAACAATTTTTTTGTCAATTATTGTCTTTTTTTTTTCAATTAATTGTTATTTTCGACCCTCAGAATGCAGGAAATTGCATCTCAGAATCAAAAAATTTTCCGGGGGGTATGCCGGACCCCCCTAGCAAACTCGGGTCACTACGTCACCCTCGAACTACTAATTTCATGGCCAGAAACTACAGATTGCTTCAAATATGTGTTGGCTTCTCTGCATATCGGAAAGTCCTTGCCGCCATATTGAGATCAGATAAGATGGGGTATAAACTGCCTTTTTGTAACATGGGTAGGATAGCACTATTCGAGGTTTTTGATCTATAATTCTCTTCACTAACATCGTACTTCAATTCACGGGTGCGTTTCTGTTTACCTAAACATTTACAAATATGATTGTGGTCGTTTGGGATATTTTACAATGTTTGTGTTAACGCAAAAACTAAAAACGCACGAGTGTTTACGTTAATCATGTACTTTTCTAAGCGCACCTCGGCCATTTTACACCCTTTTTCTGGGACCTACATAGCACAGCTGGACTTTCCCAAGGAGCTAAATAATTATAACAAGGAGAGGAAGCGGATTGGCTGTGTGCTTTTCGCCTCAAGGACGCCATCTCTGGACCATAATCATCTGAAACGGCTGTGCAGACCCGAACCCAGAGACAATAGAACAACTAATCTGTTCTAAGCCAATATGGCCAAATATGGCAAAGATTTGGGCCAGATATGGCGGCGCTTCCTCTCCTTGTTATATTTAGTTCCTTGGACGTTTCGATCTCACTTATCCATGACTGACGCTCGTTTCTCGCCATATTTTCAGCAGCAGACGAACGGCAAGTTGCCGACGATGAAACCCAGACTGCTCAACAAGCTGCTGGGATATGTGATCGTGCGGCTGAAGGAGAAGGTAAGCGAGGATGACATCGACTCTCTAATCAACACTGACTACTACTATACTACTAGAAGGGTCTATGTCCCCCAGGGTACTGCCGGAACGTAACCTGGGTCCGGTATACCGGAACCGAATTAGCCCTGGTACTATCTTAATATGCCGGACCCGTACCTCACTACTCCACTAACTGAGTCTAGTGGAGTCGCCGTACTCTACTCCCTAACCCCTAGAAACCTAATCTATCAGCATTAGTTACCAGGGTACGTTTCCGGCTAGTACCCTGTCCGCATAGACCGCTCATGAGCACTAACTCATATCTATCTAGCTACGTTATACTAGACACATCACGTGCACTACGACTGTCTGCTCTATGCGCGTCACTGACTACTAACTATATCCTACTAACTGCTAACTGGCCTTGCTCGTCTGCTGCTGCCTCTGCTGGGCTGGCTGGCTGCTCGCTGCTACTACTACTGAACTCAACTACTACTATAGTCTACTGCTACCTGGATAGCTGCTGCTGCTGCTTACTACTACTACTGAACCTACTCACTGCCTACTCCGCTGCTGGCGCTGCTTGCTGGCTGCTGCTCGCCCCTGCTCCGCTGCTGCCGCTCATCCGCTCGCCCGCGGCTCGCTGCTTCGCTCGCTTGCCCTTCGCCTCGCTGGCTTCCCTAGCTGTGCTGTGCTACTGCCTGCTACCTGCTACTACGTGTGGTGGTGGTGCTGCTGAGTGTTCCGCTCTAGCTTCGGCGGCCGCTTAAACGGATCGGTGGTGGATGGTGGCGAGTAATAATATTGATCTAGTCTTGATTCAGCACCACCGCGCCGCCCGACGCCTCGGTCGACTGTCGTCCCGGGCGGCCGGGGACGCGGATGGCCGGAGGACATGTGCACAGCGCCTCGCCTCGAGCCTACCTCCTCCAACCGAGGTCGAGAGTCGACCTACACCCTGGGTCTTTTAAGCCAGTTCTTACTCGGGCGGGAGGGGGGGGCGTCAACTGTGGGACTTACGCAGCTATTTGTCTGTCTTCTCTCTCATCCTTTACTAACCTCTCCTCGCTGCTTCTCTCTCTCTCTCTCTCTCTCCTCCTCTGATCTCTCTCGTCTCTCTCCTTCTCTCTCTCTCTCCCTCCCGTCCCCTCCTCTCTCTCTCTCCTCTCTCTCTCTCCTTCTCCTCTCTCTCCCCCTCTCTCTCTCCCCTCCCTCTTCCTCTCTCTCGTCCTCTCTCTCTCCCCCTCCTCTTCGTCTTCTCTTCCTTCATCATCCTCTCACATCTCTCCTCCTCTCTCGCTCACGTCTCTCTCTTCTCTCTGCTCCTCTAATCTGCACCCCTGCGTGTCCACATCCCTTTTTTGTAACCTGCTCTTCACTCTCTCCGCCTCTCCTCTCCCGCCCCTCTCTCTCGTCTCTCTCCCTCTGCTCGTCTCTCTCTCTCTTTGCGCTCGTCTCTCTCAGTCTCGTTCTTCCTCTCCTCCTCTATCTCCCTCTTTTCCTCCTCTCTCTCTCTCTC